ATATATTTTACCATGTTCTTTTTTTCTAAGTTGATTTAACAGAAATGAATCTTGTTTAATTAATGATAAAAAGAGACTTGCTCTCTCAACATTGCCCCTTATCTTAATTTCCTTGATTTTAGGTATGTCAACATTTTCTGTCATTGCATAATGAAATAGTTCAAGTGATTCTGATGTTGACAGTTCACTCTCTTCATCTTTTTTAAAATGATTAATATTAACACGTCCCTCTTCATCAGTATCTAAGGATCTTGCTAGCCACCATCCATCAGTATCCTCTTCCTTGATCTCAAGTTTCTCTCCTCTCTTGAATGAAAGCTGAGTACTATTCCTTGCCTCCCAGTCTCTAATAGCTACATAAACTAATCCTTTTGGTGGATCTATTGATTGTGTTGACTGATCCTTTTCTAAAATACCAGTACTAGTCATTATGTTAATATAATGTAATACATACTAAGAGTAATTGAAGTTTCTTTCAGTTGTTGTATATTCATTAATGATATCTTTTCCTGTAACTGTTCTATCTCCTTTTCTCTTTCAATTAATGTTTTCTCTACTCCATTTAACGTTTCTTCTATTTCTAGTCATTAATAATAGTCATTAATACAAATCAAAACTTGGTCGCTCATTAAATACAACATTAACTCTCATAACAATAAATATTAATTAATAATTTGAATATTATTTAATTGCATGTAAGAAGGAACCGTATTAGTATTGAGTATATACAATCATCCTCCTACTATAACAAATTAATGTACAACCAATAATGTTACTCTAAACACAGCTGTACTGTATTCTCATTATACAGTATTAAGTATGTCTGTATATATACCTGTTTTGCTTTGAAAAGATGATCGTAAATTATCTATTTCCATTTGCATTGCTTTTGTCATCTTCTTTTTACCATCTTCCTTCTCGAACTCTAAATAATAAAAATGAACCAATTAAATTATTAGCAACAACAATTCAGCTACATGATGTATTTATTCAAAATTCATTCACATGACAATATTCATAAATGTCATGTCTCAAACATGAATGTCATTATACCTGATGATTGTATTGATGACTTATTGCTTTCATCAACTTTTCTACCTTCATATGAGATACCTTTAAATTATCAATAATTATAATTAATAATAATTAGTATATACCTAATGTGTCTATTGTAACCTTCAATTTAGCATTCTCCTCAAGTAAATCATCTCTTTCACTCTCTATTATCTCCAGTTTCTTCATTAGACTCTTCACCTCCTATCAAATATTAAAGTATACTATTAATTTATATACACATACATTCACTAACCTCATCAATTGCATGTTCATCATACACAGTATAGTAACCAATAGTTAAACTAATCAATCCCATC